AATTATTTAATAAATTGTACTCCGTAATTCTAAATGAAAAATTAGAAATACTCCCCTGTCCCCCATAGAAATGAAATTAGACCCGAAAGACTATTATACCCTTTAAACTTACTCCCAATTACTACCCTACCCAAACAACCCCATTTCTCTCAGCCCTTCCCATCCGCCATCGCCACCTCCATCACTCACCACCTATATCACTGTAAATCTTTTCTTTCGTTTATCTTTTTTTGTTCTTTTTTGGTTCTGGAGCTAGAGATGGCCGATTCAATCACGCACAAGCAAGATGCGATGGTGGCAGCGTTGAAGGAGCAGTGATGAAAGGACACCGACGAAGGGGCGAAGATACTCCGTAACATTTTCTTCAGGACTAACCCTTTCGGTACAATGATCTGTCGTAGCCTTCGTTTCTGCAAAAAGGTTAGGACTGGTAAATGCGTTCTTAGCACTAATCCTTCTCTGAGAAGGAATTGCGGCATTTCCTCCGCCGCCAATACATTCATTTTCAATCGTACAAACCCCAATTTTTTCCAAGCATCTTATGATAATAAAGATTATTTGAAAAGTTGTTATTTTGGGAGAAATTATTGTTCCGGGAAGGGCAGGGAAGTTCCTAATGAGTGGAGTGAAGACATAGTGTACTTGGATGAATCAGGTGGAGTAATATACTCTGGGAAAGGGATAAGGTCAGTCGAGCCCGGTCTTGATGACCATGTAATGGTGGGTGGTTTGAAGAAGCCTATTCTGAATGCTTCTGCAGTGGCTAAGATTGTTGAGATTGTTAAAAGGTGGAGATGGGGTCCTGATATGGAGACCCAGTTGGACAGACTTCATTTTGTGCCGAACATGACTCACATTACGCAGGCTTTCAAGGTTTTGGAAGATGCTGATGCTTCCCTAAGCTTGTTTCGGTGGGCCAAGCGACAACCCTGGTATAAGCCAAGTGACGAGTGCTATATGATGCTGTTTGATAGGCTGAATCGAAATAGAAATTTTGAGGGGATTCGATCGGTTTTTGATGACATGGTTGTCGATTCGGGGGAGAAAGGCACCTCTTTAATCAATGCTTACAACCAGGTCATTCAGTACTTGGCAAAAGCTGAGAAGTTGGAATTGGCATTCTGCTGTTTTAAGAAAATTCAGGAGTCTGGTTGTGAGGTAGACAGCCAGACCTACAATTCTGTAATAGCCCTGTTTTTCAGTAAGGGCTTGCCTAACAAGGCGTTTGAGGTATATGAGAACATGGAAAATGCAAGGTGCTCGTTAGATTCATACAGTTACGAGCTAATGGTACCAAGTCTAGCAAAATCAGGCCGCCTTGACTTGGCATACAAGCTCTACCAAGAGATGAAAGAAAAGAGGTTCCGGCCAAATTTTGGGATTTTTTCCACACTTGTTGATACAATGGGAAAAGCTGGGAGGTTAGACACATCAATGAAGGTCTACACGGAAATGAAGGGTTTTGGGCTTAAACCATCTGCAACAATGTATGTCTCCATGGTCGATTCATTTCTTAAGGCAGGGAAATTGGATACTGCATTAAGGCTTTGGGAAGATATGAAGAAGGCAGGGTTAAGACCTAATTATGGCCTGTACACTATGATGGTTGAGTCACATGCAAAATCTGGGAAACTTGATATTGCGATGTCTTTCTTTACCGATATGGAAAAAGATGGATTCATGCCTACCCCAACTACCTACTCATCACTTCTGGAGATGCACGCTGCTTCTGGTCAAGTGGATTCTGCAATGAAGCTTTACAATTCTATGATAAATTCCGGTGTAAGACCAGGTCTAAGTACTTTCACGTCCTTGCTGAGCGTTCTGGCAAAGAAGAACCTCGTGGATGTTGCTGCTAAGGTTTTACTTGAAATGAAGGCAATGGGATATTCAGTTGATGTGACCGCTAGTGATGTTCTAATGCTTTACATCAAGAACAGTTCTGTTGATCATGCTCTAAGGTGGCTGCGCTTTATGGGTTCGTCTGGGATCCGTACTAATAATTTCATCATACGTCAACTCTTCGAGTCATGTATGAAAAATGGACTTTATGAGTCTGCTAAGCCTCTCCTTGAAACGTTTGTAAACTCTGCTGCTAAGGTTGACCTAATACTCTACACCTCAATCCTGGCCCATCTGGTGAGGTGCAATGATGAAGTGAGCGAGAGGCATTTGATGTCAATCCTGAGCGCAACAAAGCACAAGGCTCATGCTTTCATGTGTGGACTCTTCACTGGCCCAGAACAGAGGAAGCTGCCAGTCCTATCCTTTGTAAGGGAATTCTTCAAGGGCATTGACTATGAGTTGGAAGAAGGAGCTGCAAGGTACTTTGTGAATGTCCTACTTAACTATCTTGTTCTCATGGGGCAGATTAACCGTGCTCGTTGTGTGTGGAAAGTTGCTTATGAAAACAAGCTTTTCCCAAAGGCAATAGTGTTTGATCAACACATTGCATGGTCTCTTGATGTTAGAAACCTGTCTGTTGGAGCAGCTCTTGTATCGGTCGTCCACACACTCCATAGGTTCAGGAAGAGGATGCTGTATTATGGTGTCGTCCCCAGACGAATCAAACTGGTGACTGGGGCGACTCTTAAGATAGTGGTCGCGCAGATGCTAAGCTCAGTTGAATCGCCTTTTGAGGTTAGTAAGGTTGTTTTGAGGGCTCCGGGCGATACTGTCTTGGAGTGGTTCAAGAAGCCAATTGTCCAGCAATTTCTCCTGAATGAAATCCCATCAAGGGCTGACATTTTGATGCATAAACTCAACATACTTTTCCCCAGTTCTGCACCCGAAATCAGATCAGTTTCTCCTCCTAGACCTCTTCTTCCCGGAAAGTATGCCTAGTTGGAAATGAGATTACATCCTCAATGATGGATGATGGACTTTATGTATCTGCAAACTGATGTGTAAGCTGTTGTTTTACATGGTAGTCATGGCTAAACTCTTTCTCTTGACTCTGTAATAGTGTCTATTAGATAGAAACAGCGGGCATTGCATTTTTGAAGACTTCTTAGTTGTATGTGAATGGGTTTTTAGTTCTTGTTACCCTGTGCAATTTCCGAATGTTACTTCATGTACCTAGCAACTTCTTTAATATTTTCCACTTGTCTCCTCTGAAACTATCTTCATTTTTGCTGATGATCCCTCATCACTTACTACTTCTATGGAGTATGGCACACCGGATGAAGTTTGTTTGGGTAACGGTAAGAATTTAACCATTTCTCACACTGCTCGGTCCACTTTACTGTTTACCCACCTCCTACCGTTCCCTCAATTTATTTGAAATTTGATAATCCTAATCTTGTTATTTGGTTAGGTTTTATGGGCATTTCAAAACTCCTTAGTATTTAGTAGTTATTCGGAACTTTGGGTTCCTATTCGGCATGATTTTTCTACTTTCACACATGTCTATTGAACACAGTACCTTTTAAGCTTAGTCTGCTAACAACTTTGTGTCCATATAATTTTTCCTCTTGTGGCAAATTGTACCCCAATAATATGACCAATTCTTACTCCAAAAGCTCTAAAAGCAAACTAAAAAATGTTTCCACGGCAAACATATACTCTCTCCGTCTCAAAATGAATTTCACATTATGCAAAATAAAATAAAATTTTAATTTTTTTTAAAATTTATTTTATTTAAAGATTGGTATAGAAATAAAAATTATATATTCAAAAACTATGTCAAAAGTATTTCAAAACAAGATGTGAATAATATTTTATGTTATCAAATAATCAATGAAAATATACAAATACCCAATCCGTCCTAAAATGATCTTCTCATTCAATTCATTATCACATGATCAACCTTTTAATTATTTTTAAACCTATTTTCGTCAGTTATTTGATAAAACAATATAATCGTGTTACATCTTATTTTACAAAACGTTTGATATAGTTTTAAAACATATAATTTTTATTTTTTAATCTTACACCTAAAATCAAATAAATTGAATTAAAAATAATTTCAGTCAAAACTCGTAAATCGAACTGGAAAGATCATTTTAAGATAGAGGTAGTAAAATAAAAAATTTTGTGATTTTAGAATAAAATGTGACATTCTTTTTTAGAGGGACGAAGTGACACCATATGATACTCCATATGTCTAAATCTTCTCATTGCATTTTAACATTTAAAATATTACAACAAACACACTTTATTACAACTAACCCACACCATTTTAATATATTTTACCCATTTTTATTAAGAATATTTTAGTAAATTTTCATCTTTTTTAATTTTTTTTCAAAAATCACAAAAGGTCAAAACAAAAAATACTAAGGGAACAACAGAGTATGACATTATTTCATCATAAATCAACAGAAGTTGCAGATCATCCTCGATTTGTACAAGGAACCTCCGAATGTGCGGTCAAAGAAATTAGTTGAAAAAATGTAACGGAAATTTAAATAGGGTTGGTTGCAGTTAATTAATTTTGGGGATTCATCTGCTAACCAACCAATGTATGATATGCGACTATAAACAGTATTTTGATTTTTTTGATTTTCTTTTTCATATTTATAATTTTCCACACCTCAGGGGCAAATGGGCAAAATAATATATAACCACTGATCTGATGTCATGCACGTATGTTGTTGTTGTTTAAAACAATTACGGGCGCAGTGAGTTATACCAAATGTCCCAAACAGATGAAACTGTCAAGTCGCCGTCCCGCCGTCGCTGTCCACCTCCGACACCGTAACCGGAAAGCTGGCGCGTATTCCGCCCGGTTGACGGACCAAACCATACGTATACGATATGGTCCAACTTGCGCGCCGGACCCGGTCCGCGCGGGCCCCGCCTGAGTCCTGCTGCGCGGACACGCGTACGTGGTTGGCCCCACTCCCTGTCCCCCCCTCCCTCCCTTTTCACTCCCCCGCAACATTTTTTCTTGCAATTACCGATTTGTCCACGCCTCTCTCTCTCTCTTTCCTCCCAACCTTCCAACCTCCCTTTTTGTCTGTCCTGCCCACCGTTGACGTGGCGTCTGACGTGGCGCTCTACTCTTCACTTCTCCCCTATTTAAACCACTCTATCCTTTCCCCCCTCTCTCACTCCAACCCCCAACCCAATTATATCTCTCCCCATCTTACCTTCTCATATTTTTTCCCCCTCATCAACTTCTTCATCTTGATCTGTATATCACAGAGTAGTAAAATTAAAGAAAAATCACCTGAAGAGAGCGAAAAATGGCCGTCGATTCCGTCATGGCATCCCCGTTGGGTCCTCCGGCTTGCGAAAAAGACGCAAAAGCCCTCCAGTTCATCGAGGAGATGACCCGAAATGCGGACGCCGTCCAAAGGCGGGTGCTCGAGGAGATCCTGAGCCGGAACTCGAAGACGGAGTACCTCCAGCGCTACGGCCTCAACGGAGCCACCGACCACCAGACTTTCAAGTCCAAACTTCCGGTGGTCACCTACGAGGACCTCCAGCCGGACATCCAGCGCATCGCCAACGGCGACCGCTCCCCCATCCTCTCTGCTCACCCCATCTCCGAGTTCCTCACCAGCTCCGGCACATCAGCTGGAGAAAGGAAACTGATGCCCACCATCAGGGAAGAACTGGACCGCCGTCAACTCCTCTACAGTCTTCTCATGCCCGTTATGAACCTGTAAGTGTTTTTTTTTAATTCAAATTTTACCTAAATAGGACTAAAACATAATGACTTTCTCAATATAGGACCATATGTTTTTATTTCCCAATGTAGGACATTTGGTCATTATGAAGTAGTCATTATTCAAGTAAATGTCCATCATTACTGGACATTATTCCTCCCACTAGGTCATTATTAAGTCATATTTAGAGAATAAAAAAGTTTAAGTCCTACATTAGGAAAGTCATTATGTTTTAGTCCTATTTAGTGCAAATTTCACATATAAAAAGTCTTTTGGATTTATATATTCTGACGTTTTTGTGGTTTGTGTATGTAACAGTTACGTGCCTGGATTGGACAAAGGAAAGGGGCTCTACTTCATGTTTGTTAAATCTGAGACGAAGACACCGGGCGGGCTGGTGGCCCGCCCGGTGCTGACCAGCTACTATAAGAGCGAGCACTTCAAGACCCGCCCGTACGACCCGTACAATGTGTACACGAGCCCGAACGAGGCGATTCTCTGCCCGGACTCGTTCCAGAGCATGTACGCCCAGATGGTCTGCGGGCTGTACGAGCGGGAGCAGGTGCTCCGCCTCGGCGCCATCTTCGCCTCCGGCCTCCTCCGCGCCATCCGCTTCCTCCAGCTCCACTGGGCGGAGCTGGCCCACGACGTCCGGACCGGGGCCCTCAGCCCGCAGATAACCGACCCGTCGATCTCCGCCTGCATGGCGCGGATCATGAGGCCCGATCCGAATCTGGCGGATTTCATAACCCGTGAGTGCTCCAAGGAGAACTGGGAGGGGATCATCACGAGGATCTGGCCCAGGACGAAGTACTTGGACGTGATCGTCACCGGAGCCATGGCACAGTACATTCCGACGCTAGAGTACTACAGCGGCGGCCTTCCCATGGCGTGTACCATGTACGCGTCATCCGAGTGTTACTTCGGCCTGAACTTGAACCCCATGTGTAAACCCTCCGAGGTTTCCTACACCATCATGCCCAACATGGGCTACTTCGAGTTCCTCCCGCACAACCCGGGTTCCGGCGACGCGGTGCCGGCGAAGCTCGTTGACCTGGTCAACGTCGAGGTGGGGAAGGAATACGAGCTGGTGATCACCACCTACGCCGGACTCTGCCGTTACCGGGTCGGGGACATCCTCCGAGTCACGGGGTTCCACAACTCGGCGCCCCAGTTCCACTTCGTGAGGAGGAAGAACGTGCTGTTGAGCATCGACTCGGACAAGACGGACGAGGCCGAGTTACAGGGCGCGGTGGAGAACGCGTCGAAGCTGCTCAGTGAGTTCAACACCAGCGTGGTGGAGTACACGAGCTACGCCGACACGAAGACGATTCCGGGGCACTACGTCATCTACTGGGAGCTGCTGATGAAGGACCCGTCGAACTCGCCGAGCGGGGAGGTGCTGGACCGGTGCTGCCTGGCGATGGAGGAGGCGCTCAACTCGGTGTACCGACAAGGCCGAGTCGAGTGCAACTCGATCGGGCCGCTGGAAATCCGAGTCGTGAAGAGCGGGACCTTCGAAGAGCTGATGGACTACGCGATCTCGAGAGGCGCGTCGATCAACCAGTACAAAGTCCCCAGATGCGTTAGCTTTGCGCCGATCATGGAACTGCTCGACTCGCGAGTGGTGTCCACGCACTTCAGCCCGTCTCTTCCCACTTTTATCCCTGAACGAAAGTCTTAATGCGCCGTTTGACTAGTTCCAGTCAACGCCTATTTAGTTTTTTTTCTTAAGTTTATATATATATAAATATATATAAGGAAAATGGGTTATGTATTTTGTCATTGTGATTAGAGATCTCAGTGTAACTAGCCGATAATTAATTAGGGATTAAGTTTGAAGATTTAGGCTTCACAACAATGCTATGGCATGTGAAATGGATGTAATATGGTGCCATGCTATGCTGGATGGTTCGAGTAGCTAATTAATTAATTAATGTCCCTTTATATGTATTCTGACTACAAATCATAGAATATTATTATTCATGAATTATATTTACCTATTTAATGAGTCACAAACAAAAAAATTGCAAATATTTTAAATTTATCATTTTCAAATGGTCTCAAATAATTTTAAAATTTATCCTTTTGACTTGAGCATTTTTCTTTTGAATTGCTGTAAATTCTATAAATAAAAAAACAATCCAATTTTTGGGCTGTTAAAAAATTCTGCTTTCTTTTAAAGTAATAATGTTTTATGAGATTAATACCATTCGTTCGTTTGATTTTTTTATATAGTCTGTAAAGTAAAGGAGCGAAAAGTCATTAATTGAATAAGACAAGAAATGAGAAAAGATTAGGAGAAAGTGACTGATTAATTATGTCATAATAATACCTTGGCGTAACAGTCAGTAAGTTATAAAAACGTGTGATGTTGGGAGATGGTGTACAGTAGGTAGTAATTAATGAATGATAAGTATCAATTGATGGGGGAAAGTACGTACATGCACTTTTGCGTTACAAGTCTTGGTCAAAAGTAATAATATAGGTACAGTAGAGATGGATCGATGGAGGGGGCAACAGACCATAAGCTCCTGCCTTTTTTTATTTTGATAAATCCAAATATACGGCCGGGCCAAACGCCCCCTAAATGAACTAAGGCCCGTTTTGCTATATTTTGTTAGAAGACAGGGCACTTACAATGGAAATGGGAAGGGAAGGGCTCTCTAATGCTACTCCAAAAAAAATGGCTCGTAAGCGTCTGGCACCAAGGCGCGGACAATGGCCGAGCGGCGCGCCAGCGTCTGTAGTGCCTTGCCGCACCGCGACTAGTGTTTTTTTTTCAAATTCTTTTTTTTTTTTGTTTTTCAAATTAAATACTACTTCCGTCTCAGAGTATTTGTTCACTTTTATTTTTATACACTATCCAATACACTTCTTTAATCAATTTTATCTTGTAATTTGTATATTAAAAAATTATAGAAATTATATATTAATAATCTATATGTTAAGACAAATCAAACAAGATCACACATGACTATATTTAGGCTTACACATTGAGAGAATTTGATGAGTCAAAATGCTTAGATGAACAGTTCCAAAAGTCAAAACTGGACGAATAATCCGGGACGGAGGGAGTACTTTATACTCTTCATCTGGTTTTGTAATTTCAACTCTATAAATTAAATGCTTTTTTTGTGTTGTTACCTATTTTATATTTCGTTGCTTACATAAGTTTTATGTAAAAATGATGAATTTTGTAAAATAAATGTAGAGACATGAAAAGAATCCATAGCATTGCAAATGTTTTAGTCTGACTCGAAAAAAGGAAGAAATTAAGATGTGGCAGGGATTGGGCATGGCGATAATCCACCTCATTGTAAACATCTTGAGAGTTAATGTTTAGATAATACTTTTTTTTATAATACTTTGTACTATTGTAATTTTAGTTTAGTACTTTTAAACTTAATTTTAATTTAATAAAATTTTGTTTCCAAGTGCTATCAATAATGAAAAATGATGTTTTCAAACAAGTTTGTGATAAAATGGGGTATAACTTAATCTAATTACAATACAAACTAAATGAATTTAGACCAAAGAATTATTTCCTATATCATAATAATAATAACAACAATAATAATATGGAATATTGGAGTAATAATAACAATTAACAATAATAATAATTAGTAACAATAATGGATAGACAATGAAATAAATATGAGAGTTCATACATTCCTTATCTAATTGGGTATGTGATTGACGTGTTCAACGTGAATTCCGCTAAATACGGAGTATAAAATTAATATGGAATATTTAATAAAAAACAATATTATATACCCTGTTTAATTAATTAATAAATTTTATCATTCTAAAAGAAAACAAATAAATTCTAAAAATGGATTGAAATTACGTAAAAAAAAATGGAATAAAGAAACAAAAGCGATTTGATTTGCAGCCGACCGAGCTGCCGGCAAGTTGACCTTAGAATAGGATTCCATGACCAATTTTTTCATATAAATCAAAAGCCATTGATAGATATTTGAACTGTTAAATATGGCTGCCAGCGCAGCGCAATTAATTATCCGACACACAGAATAAATTTGAAAATTAAGTGTCCTAAAGAATGAAAATTATTGACCTTCAAAACAAAAAAAAACAAAAAAAAAAAAACAAAAATTGGATGATAATATTCCAAGAAGCTCATAAATATTTGGGTGTAAAGCAATCCTTTAAGTATAAAAAGTGTCACTTTTGGCTATACACTAATACGATTTGCTGTTGGGTATGTGGTCATACAATATGATAATTAACAATCTGTATTTCCAATTCTTTAATTTTGTGGCTTAGGAGCCCCCAAAACGAAAATTTGAAAAACTATTCAGTTATAAAAATATTTTTATAATATATGCTACACTTTTTTTAAAAAGAATTTTCTATTTATTACTCTCCCGGTCTCATTAACAAAATCCATATCTTCTCATGTTCCTGAAAAAGTCCACCACTTTCTATCCATGAAAATTTTGCTCTGATTCACACTATTCTCATACGCGTAAAATTTTTAATTTTTTCATCTTACATGTCGCATAAAAAATTTTAATTTGGCCTAAATGGGCACAATAATTGCCCTTACTTTTTAAAATCTAACCGAACTAATCCTAAGTACCTTTTATGCCTTATACATTATGACATTTCCCGAGCCCTAGTGCCCTACTTATTTCATTTGTCGTTGTTTCATCTGGGTCAAACATCCATATTAGAAAGTCAAAACAAAAAATGTTTTACGGAACGAATGAAGTATTATTTTTTTCTCCTCTTCATGACCATGATATTTTTATTGTCCAACTTCTTTGTGTAATACAAAAACCCCTAATACTACAACAATTTTCAACATTTACATCAATATCATCCACAAAATATTAAAAAATTAATAATGAATGTGTAGAAACTATACATTTAAGCATAAATAATCTACAAAATACTCCGTATTAAAAAAAATTAAAATTTTGGGACCGTCTAAACTGAAAGGCCGGGTCTGTGGCTGAGCATACACCCTATTAAAGACACTCTAGTGGCCTTTTTTGTTTGTTTTCCTTTTGTCTTTAAATTTTTCTTGTCTTTTGGTTCTATATACATTTATTACACGTATAAGTATAGTATATGTGTGTGTCTATATATATATATATATATATATATATATATATATATATATATATATATATATATATATATATATATATATATATATATATATATATATATATATATATATATATTCTCGTAGAATAGTTAGTGTTTATTGTCCTCTATTATTACACGATGTTGGCTGGGCAATCAAAATTTGATTAAGCTATTTGTACACCAAAATTTGTACTCCCTCCATTTTAAAAAAGGATTCCTCTTTTGACTTTGTATAAAAATAAGAAAGTGTTAAATTGTAGTTAACTTCCAATTTTGCCCTTGATGTGATAGGTAAAAGAAAGATGTGATGGATGGATTATTAGAGATAAAGTATGATTAAATATGTAGGGTATGAAAAGGTAAGGGTAAAGTTGTTTTTTAATAGAAAGTGAAAGTGTTTTGTTGGAAGTGAAAAAATGAAAGAAGAAGTGTTTTTGAGAACAGAGAGAGTACTTCATTTTGTATCTCAAAGGCATGCAGTGATATTTTGTACTAGTATATATGATGTTAGTGTGATGATTTATATTAGCAAAAAATGTTAGTGCAATTTTTTTAAATTGAAATAACATTTTCTATTCGTGTGAATCGTTAAAATGTCAGTATATTTCTTAAGGGTATAAATTCGAGTACATTTTGGTGTACTCCTAGCATGTTTGATCAAAATTAGATCTCAACACACACACCTTGATGATGAAGAAAATAAAAGAAAGTGAAATTTGTACTAAATAGGACTAAAACATAATGACTTTCCTAATGTAGAACTTAAACTTTTTTATTCCCTAAATAGGACTTAATAATGACCTAGTGGAATGAATAATGTCCAGCAATGATGAATATTTAGTTGAATAATGACTACTTGATAATGACCAAAGGTCCTACATCGGGAAATAAAAACTAATGGTCCTATATTGGGAAAATCATTATGTTTTAATCCTATTTAGGTAATTTTCTCTAAAAGAAATTGGACGAAGAAGAAGAAATTGAGATGTTGAGCTAATAAGAAACCCCACAGTTTAAATCATAACAATAATGACGAATTCCACATATAGAAAATGATTTGAGAGTATATATAACTTAAGAGAATCATGCTAGAAATATAGAAGTTTCGTTTCGTACACAGAATTCAAATCGTGGAATTCGAATTGAAGACTTAAAAAGCATTCAAAATCCAAAATTCAAGATTCTTTCAGTGTTAACAAGTCTTATACATTAAAAACTGAAAATTTAAATTTAAAAATTAAAAAATTAACACTAAAAAATAAGAATTTAAAAAAACTATTAAAATATAAAAAACTCAAAAGCAATAAAATAAAAATTAAAATAAAAAATAGAAATTAAAAATTAAAAATAGAAAATGAAAAATTGTCACAGGAAGTTTAAAGTTTAAAATTTAAACTTTAAAATTAAAAATTTAAAATTAAAAACCGAACATTTAAAATTTCTAATAATAAAAAAAATTAAAATATTTAAAACTAAAAAACATAAATTTAAATTTAATTTTTTTTTTAAAAAAAATTAAATTAAAATAAAAAAATAAATAACAAAAAATAGAAAACACAGAGTAACAAATTTAAAATTTTAAAGATAAATTTTCAAGTTTCAAATTTTAAATTTAAAATCTAGGATTTAAAATTTAAAATTTAAAGTCTAAAATTGAAAACTTAAAATTCAAAATTTGAAATTTGAAATTTATAATTTAGATTTACTAATTTAAAATCTAGAATTTAAGTTTTAAATTTTAAAATTTATAACTTAAAATATTAATTAAAAACTAAAAATGAAAAGTATAAAACTAA